AGCAATTTAACGGACTTAACATCTCAGAGAATAGTGCACAAAGTCAGCCCGGCTGCACACAAACAGGAGCAACGGGAAATGAGATGTCAAGTGGTAAGCATAGTTTAACTAAACTCGGTTAATTTTTTACCATAATTCTCAACCATTGACCCTTTTTCATGTAACTTCAGTTTTTGACCAAGACAGAATTTCTCCTTACAATATCAAGACAATATAGCAATAACCGCCTCCCGGTTAGCTCAATGGATAGAGCGCTGGACTGTCGTGCGGGAGGTCGAGGGTTCGAGCCCTGACTGGACCAACACTCAAGGTCTTAAAATAATTGAGAAGAATATGCTACCTTTCTATAACATCAAGAAATGATTAGATATTCTAGTCTTCTCGGATAGGGACGAATAAATGGAGGTCCCGTCTCCTGCAGGGTTTGGGGCAGGAGACGTTAATTTCCCACGCACGAGATTACTGTATAATGGATGTCCCTCCTGGGGTGGGATGGGTGGGTAACAGGACCCCCGCTGATACCAGTGTTTACTGCACTGAAGGGGCTATCCTGTATAAATATAGATGTCTACTGTCTACTATATCAAGCAGACAAGTGATGAGGTTAAATAAACATGTCAAGTAGGGGATTATTAATTGATATAATACCGAATTCTCTGAATCAGTATCATAAGAATTGTATAGCAGACAGTAATGAGAATCACTAAAGAGATCTTGGAGAGAAAAGGATTGGTTAGCTTTTCTTCTCAAAGTTATTATTACATTTGTTATGCTTGACAATCAAGTCAATGCAAATATGTGTGGGCTGATCACTCAGACCAGTGAAATATTTTGTGCCCAGGAAATGATGTGTATGTTTAAGGATGACACATCAAACAAGCCTTAAACATATTGCAAAGTGAATTCATTATCAGGCCTTTGACAGATATTTTTTGATGAGTTTTAATGAAGTAGAACATTTCAATTCAAATGCAAATTAGCATGGTCCAAGCGGCACATATAGACCTGTCGACCAGTTTTGTAATTCTTAAATGTGTTTTAATCCTAGTTGTGATGTTTTTAGGATCGAGGGCCACTAGTTCATCAGTTGAAGTGCTGTTGTGTGTTACCCTCTCTTAATAAAGTTGAAGTTATTACTATTATTAAGTATCATTACTTTTAGAAAGATCTTTTTAAAAAAAGAAGCCGGAAAGCTTTCATCAAATTAAAATCCCTTGCATAATGTGCTTTATTCCATTTCACATTGTTTATGTTTGGGAAAAAAAGAGCAACACGGTGTACATGTAGGATTTCAGTTCTCATTACACTCATTTTTAGTCTAATTATGGGCAACTGTTGAGTCGTGTTTTTTTTTTTTTATCGATGGGATGCACTTATTGTGACACAGAAAGGAAACTGGAAGAGAAATTTCAATCTCTTGTTGGATTAAAAAAAGTGTTTGTGATGAAATAGCCAGTAATGTGAAAAGCACTTGTCGTGGAATATATGTTTTTTTTTTTAAACCACCTGCCGTGAACCAATGAATACGTCAATGTTTTTTTTATATTTTTTCTCCTGGCAAAGTAAGCTAGAGTCTGCTTGCCGTCTTTAGTTGTTTCATTTTTGTGTTTGTTGGTTTGCCTTTTTCTCTTTTTTCATCGTTTTCTGTGATGGTAAAATCCGAAAAAAAAAAAAAAATTTTTTTAATTTTTATTCCACCGGGTAAATTTAAGATTTTGGACCATTTTCCAAAATATTCTGGCCATAGTTTCTGGCCATAGTTTCTGGCATACTATTAACAAAAATTTTATAACCTGATTCAGTTCCATCACAAAATACATTGGAGATATCATTGTTAATAAGGAATGACAGCCAGTTTCTTGATAATGATGGACTATTTAACCAGGATTGTTAAGACAAAGTCTTTGAGGCAGGGTTGAATTTTACACTTAAAGGAACTTCGTTCTTAATGCCAGAAAGAGTTGAAGCCGACGCAGTAAAATGAACAGCGTGACATGAGCTCCACTGAACAGATGCAGTAGCTGCTCATCCCAACGTACAGCTGATAAGTTTAATTTGCTTGCCACGTGCGCGAGATAAAGGGACAATATCTTCGTACTCCGCGAGGTATCGAACTCCTGTACTTTGGATCTTGTGTTCTTGTGTTCTGCTACTGAGTAGTCAAAACGACTCGATGACGAGTCAGACCCATACGAGGTTCATTTGTTGCAAGGGTACTACATACTGCCGGGGTCGTGGACCAAGCTCGAGGTTTTCTGTCGCAGTGGCCAATCCAGGGGAGGTTCTGGGGGATTCTGGAGCCTCCCCCATCAGACCTGTGGGTATTTTCCTTCTTGCTTATAAGCAAAATTTATTCCAAGGACGAGATCGTATATTCTACTCAGTTTAAAGTATTTGAAATTTGCTTATCTTGGAATTTTTCTTGGCTTTTTTCAGCTCCAGTGAGAAAACGAAAAAGTTAAAAGAAAAACACTTTGGACTCCATTGTCAATGATTTTGGATTCCGCCCCTCTATCTCTTTCATTTTATTTTAATTTGGATGGCGAAAACAGTTGAATTGTCTTATTGTGGCTTTCACGGTCTGTTTCACTTCCCTGATCTTCCAACAGAAAAGAATTGGATTTAAAGACGAGTTTAAGTAAAGTAAGGTTAAAAAGGAATGAATGAAAGTGATTTGACGAAACTTGCCACGATATTGGAGAATTGAAGCAACACAAATGGGAAGATAGCAAGATACTAATCCGAGCTGTACCCATGCTATTGTGGAGACTGTTTTCTTGTATCGTGCTAAATTTAGTGCCGTCGACGCGACACCATTTGTAGCCGGTATTTGTTGTTGAACATGGTTCTGCACGTGCAGTAGTTTGCGTCGGAGACCAATGTAGATGTTGGCGTAGGAGAAAGCCGAGATCACAAGGGAAATCAACTGACACAAATTGTACAGATGAATCGAAATGTGTGAGATAAATGCACCAGCTGCTAATGTGCCATTTAGTAACCATACGCAAACAAGGAGCGCGCGGACTCGCCTTAAGGTGACCACTTTTCTATAGTTCAGCCCCAAGGACAGCGCGAGAAGTCTGTCCACACTTATCGCAGCTGAAGTCGTGAGAGATACTCCACAAAGAATGAGAACGGACATTGGCAGCAAAAATCCAGTAATGTAACGGAAGATGTGTCCGTTGAAGTTCGCCATTCCTGCGTTAACAAGGCTTGTTGTATACAACGGTTGTGAAATGAATCCCACACAAAAATCAGTCACTACCAGACATTGTAACAAAAGTTTCGTCGGAGAATGAATCGAAGTCACTCTGTTCAGAGCAATTAAGATGATAACATTTCCCAGCGATGCAGTGACCGAGAAAGCGATGTTGAGGGCTGCAAATACTGCAGCCACCTCTACCGACGGATGGAGGAGTTCTTCCGTGCGGTTTGCTTTTGGCATTTTTCCGCGAACTGCGTCAGTAAGGAAGTTGAATACCATGGTCGTTTCCCCTATTTATGGCCACTCTTAATGGACAGTGCTTTAAGTTGTGAGCAGCCTACGATAAACCATTCAATGAAGATCGACAACTGATGTCTGCACAATCTAAATTTTAATAGAGCGGCTTCATTTGTCAATTTAATGATAATGTTTCACGTAGGCGAGATGACGAAAACATTACAAAATTTTACAGACATAATTTGGGTTTTCATTAATTTTCAGTAAAATAATTTATTCAAAAAAAGATGAAAACTAAGTGTTTGTGAACCACCGATCTAATTTTGCGTTATAGTCTTCGAAGTGTTTGAATAAGCAGTTAGTAATGGGTTTTTTTTCTCGCGAAATATGCTTCGTGCGGCCTTACAAAGATTAAATTGGTTGTAATATGGGCATTGCTTAAACTACAAAGAAAATTGTTTTATCTCCTCCGGCAGAAAGGCTATTTACATTTACTCGGTGTAAGTAATTACACGGTAAGTGGAGGTTATTGTACGGAACAAAGAAATTACCACAAGGTAACATCCGTAATTAAAACACTATTTTACTTAGCATCCCGGACATCAACGCGGCCTCGATAAGAGTTTGGAAAAAGGACAAGAAAGTAAATGTCTAACTTTTAATAAACGGGGACTGTTATTGTTTAATTTCACCTCTAAAGAGCCGATAATGTACGTGAATTTTGTGAATCGTTTGCTGTACAGATTTTTTTTTTCTAACGGCGTTCCGGAATGTTTAATAAAGAAGGAACTGACCATTAGCGATAAAAAAAAAAAAAATGTGCAGAGGTAACTGTGGTCTTGTTAAACCGCTATTGTGGAAACGTGCGCCACGTGCACGCGCTGTAGACGGACTATTCAACGTTACGCGTCGTTGTAAATATAATTCATTTTACTCTTTATCAGTCGTCGACACTAATTACAAATAAGAAATATATGTCTATATTTTATTCTCAGAAAGAATTATCTGTGACATTTACAAACATTTACTATTTTCAGAAGACGCTCCGAATCTAAACTTTCCGTTCAGTAACAAGAGTACTAATAGAAAAACGGCTTGCAAAGTGTTCGTCTCAGCTTTAGAGCCTGTGCACCTGGTTTGCAAGGGAGCAGCTAAGCTGTGAAACGAATGGGAAGGTTTCTTCACTCAGAGTTCTGTCGTTCTTTCCGTTTTTCACCCGACATTGAATTTATTGTTGAAGCACTATAGACACATCCATGAAACGTGCCCGGGATCTTACTTTTGTCACCCGTGATGGTAAAATTTCTGTATCATTTACGATTTCACCAGACAAACATCGAACGTATTTCGACCAACCCTCCTGCAAAATCATGTTCAAAAGTGTATTTTGATTCAAGCCTAACACAAACCGTATTAAGTGTTATTTATTAACATCAGTTATCTAAAAAAATATATTCATCATTACAATTAGTCATGTTTATTAAAGCTCTGTAGCGGTTCTTTATGATACAACAATGTTATTCCACATACCAACTTTCAGTTGTACCAAGATCGCGAAAAGTTTATTGAGGTATCTTTAATTTGTCGTGCATTACCTCTTTTTATTTGTTTGGTGACATCATTGTGACAACTTTCTATTGCTGAGTTGCTTTTTCATTTGATATTATTTCGGCTGCAAATATTTCACATATTTTGCTCTGGTTCGATAGAATCATCCGACCAGCTCCGATCGTCGAAAACAATGCTTAATCCTCTATACTCTAACATCGAATGGACGATTTGATTAAGGCCTTCAGAGCTACCGGATTTCTTTTTTTTTTTATTCCAAGGATTCACAAGGGCATCGTCAGGAAATTTAGCCATCAAGGCCTCAATCGAATCCTTCATCTAATCAACATGTTACTGAGGGACAAATTCAAACGTTTTCTCTTACATCAGTATACATGTGCCCCATACTTATCTCTCTTCACAGACAAGTCCTGTGCCAATGGTAAGAAGAACTGGCACAAGTAGCTCCATTCCTTGGCGGTTATATCTTTGATTTTCATAATCTCAAAGTTTGGTTTAGCAGTCATACCGTATGGAGAAATAAGATGCGACAATAGTCTGACCTATTAGTAATTAATTCCCATCACATAGTTATTTATTCCTAAAATTGCAGAGCACATAATATTAATTTCAGTGGGGGAGCATTTTTTTAATTGAGACGACAGCAAAGTGTGCGCACATTGATGTAAATAATCCTCATTTTGCGTTGTAAGTCTTGTGTGGCATACGTTTCCCGCGGGAAGAGACCGGTTATCATGGAGATTTAGCATCACGTTTGTGTGAGACGTGAACGGCAAGAAACCTAAACGGCACAGAGTAGAGGTTAATTGCCGGAAAATGGGCACCGAAACTATGATTGTAAGTCATGTAAGGGCGCCTTTAAATCCACGATGACGTAGGCTCACGAGAAGCTAAAACAGCAAGGTTCACGCTATTTTACGTGAAAGTAAAAGGGCAAGCTAACGTTTGCTGTTTCACGTGAACGCGGTGCTAAATCTCTATTATTTAATGCTTGGATGGGTTGGGGGAAAATATAAGGGAGGTCGGAGTATTCCGGTTTGTGTCATAATAAAATGTACGTGATATCCCTAAGGCTACGTAATAGTTTTTTATTTTTATTTTTATTTGAACAACTTTATTGACCATTACACATATTACATACAGCAAATTAGACGACCTAAAAGAAGTGGGATATTTGTACAAAGTGATTTAAAGTGATAAGGAGGAAAGGTCAAAGGGGCTGGTGCGAACGGGACACGAGGACCCATGCGAGGCACCGCCCATGGTACAGATAATGATTTAAAACACGATCAACCAAAAAACGGTTAAAAACTAGGGATGGCAGGGGCAGGAACGTACAATTGACCAGATACAAGGATAGAATATGTCAAAGTGATTGTGCAAGAGTTGAAACATGTGCTCGGTAACAAAATTACGGAAGGAAGCAGTAGTTGAAAAACTGGTAGGGGGTGAAAATTTACAGATATAGTTCCAGAGCTTAACAATGCGATTAGAGTAAAAGGCCTGAAAAGTGCTAGTTTTACATACAGGAGTTTTAAGGTTAAAAGAATTACTTAGTCTGGTTCGGCCGTAAGAAACTGGAGAGACAAAATTATAAATATTAAAATCAGTAAAACCATTCCGACATTTGTAAAAAAAACAAGATCTTTGAGTTCGCGGTCAAATGTCAGAGGAAGAAGTTTCAAAGTTAAAAGTCTGTCTCTGTATGACATCACGCCTACACGTTGTTTGAGGATCCACCTTGTGGCCCTCCTTTGAACCCTTTCAATTTTAGTTTTTAATACAATCTTGTCCGGGGACCAGACTTGGGTCGCGTAGGATAGCTGAGACTTCACAAGTGCAATTTAAAGTGAGCGTCTTGCAGAGACGTCATTTAATAATAGGCACGTGCGTTTTAGAAGTCCAAGTAATTTGTTGGCCTTAGCAGTAATGGCATGGATGTGTGTGTTCCAGGTGAGAGAGTTGGTGATGTTAACTCCAACATCTCTTTCCGTGGACACACGCTCGAGCTCCAAATTATCAAGCTTGTAGATGAAGTCTAGCGGGCTCTTTTTTCGAGTGATGGTTAGCGCCTTGCATTTAGAAGCATTAAACCGGATATTGTTGTGCCGAGTCCACGTGTTCATGTTGGTCAAGGTTTTCTGCATAGACATGCAGTCATCGATGGTATTGATGTTGCGATATATTTTGGTATCGTCGGCATAAAGGGAGGTGAGGACATCGCCTATCGCCTTTTGTCAAATGGTCTGTCCTAATTGAGGGTCAATTTTCTGTAGTCTCCCACTTAATAATGTTCTCTCTGCGACGACTGATTCCCTCTTCTTTCCTGCTGAAAACTATGTGATCCACACCAAAATCCTCCGATACCCTTATCCCTGTGTCTCCCCCTCCCCCCTCAAAACAGGCGGTAAACAATGACTGGTACTTGGTCCGTTCTGACGATATGTATAATTTCTTTTCTCCTGTCAATTTTTTTTGCAGAGCATTTACCCGTTCAGTCAATAAACCAAGGTGAAGAGGAAGAAGGATGGGAAGTGGTTCGACGATCGAAGAAACGTTAAACGAAGTGCCTCAACTTCTTACGTATGGATTTCAAAAGTGAAAAATAAAGAATTAAAAAGGAGATTTGTTGTACTGACGAAGTTGAGTGTGTCTCTTGTGTGTGTACTCGTGTAATTTCCTATCAAAACAACGTGGTTTCAGAGGTACTGGTTGTTTTAAGAAATTCAGTTATCTTTTTTAATCGAATATCGTAGTCTCAAATCCTAGAACATGGATCAAGCGCTTCCTCTTCGGATCGAGCTGGTGACCCTTTGTGTTCTGATATTTTCGAACACTTCGTATTATACTTCCACGTCACGAGAAATTTCCGTTGGTCTAAGAATTTTCAGTCAGTTAACTAAGTAAATGAAAGGCTTCAATCATTGACACATTTTACCTTTCATTGTTGTCTTTCACAAAGGATACAGATCGAAAAACTGGATCAAATTTTTAAAGGTAGAAACGCGTTGTAAAACTCGGTTTCCTACAGTCAAGCCGGCTTGGGCGATCGCTAAAATGCTCATTAAGTAAAGGCAAATTTATTTTAATTTGTCATTTTCGTTCATATGAGTTGCCTCTAAATTAAGTAAAACCCTTGAAATAATTGTTGTCAGAGTAGACAAAAACATTTAAATAAAACACGTTGGATGTATTTCCGCGAGAGCCGCAGCCATCCCTTCCCGCAGGACATATGGGTAACGAATCATCATCATCATCATCATCATAAACTTTATTTCATCTCGAATTTTAGAGTAGCTTGTTGGAGCTAATATCTTCGAGAAAACATAAAATGGAGATTATCTATATATATATATTCTTACATAAATCTGTATTACATAAATCTGTACAAGATTTAAAATACTAACTATACTAAAATATACTAAAATACACAGTATTTAGAAATATAATTATGTAACATATCAGTAGAAATTAACAGAAAGGTGAAGATAAGCGGGAACGACTATACGAATACTGTGCCAACAGTAATGAAATTTTCCCTTAGTTGGAAGGGCTGAAATTATTATTATTTTTTTTTTCATATCACGCTTTTGCGTCGACCTCAATCTAATTGGCCCCAACATAGTAATAGTTTAAATGCACGTCTTGACTCAAACAAAGAAAACCTCGCCAGGTTTTTACACCGAGGATGACCCAAGAAAATCCCATATTTCGAAGGCACTCGATTTGCTGCCCACTAAGGAAGATTTGCGGTCTTCCTACATTCCCTTTTTCATTATCCAGGGAAATACGGTTATGAACTATTGATGAGACGCTCCTGCAGTGATTTCTTCTTGAAATACGATTATGCCATCTCTCATGGAAAGCCAAAAGGTGTTGGTACAAAGATGATAATTCTGCATGGTCTCTGGTGGAACGATGCATTAATTGATTTGTGGTATCGATGGCACAATGTAGGCGACTTACTATGCCATCGATGACATCAAGATTGTAACAATCGCTGAGCCTTTCCATATCATTTAACAATGTTTCGATACTGAAGAAAAATGCACTCGTGTTAATGGCCACTATGGTAATTCTCTCATATCACAGCAAACCCAAAATTCAGCATTAAGAAACACAGGAAACCCAATGGAACGCCCAAAGGCAGCTCACCCCTAAATGCAGTATTCTAATTATTTCAATTTCTTTTTATAGTTATTTTTCATTGATTCTATTTTAATTATTTGTTCATACTTTTTAACTTGTTTCTAATTGTACGCCTGAAAAAGTCAACCCACTTCATTCCGTTCATTCCATCCATTCCTGTTCCTCTTGGACAAAGAAACCATGTGAGTGTTGCCCAGGCCCCAAGCTCGGCCCAATGTGAGATCTTTCCCCTCCCCTCTAAACAAATAGCCCATTTCCGAATTACCCTTGGCCTCTTTTTCCTGGTGCTCAACCATTCTTGTGAAAATAGTTTAATTTGCATGTGAATGAAAACTTATAATCTTATGAAAGGATGAGCACCAGGACTCGTTTTGAAAATGAGGCCAAGGGTAATTCAGAAATGGGCTAATTTAGCGACAACGAATAATGTTTAGCGACAGCGATTCAACTTATCAAGAGCGAATATTTTTAGCGACTTTAAATTCAACTTTGGGAAAGCGATTTCAATTTACCGAGAGCGATCTCAATTTACCGAGAGCAATTTTAACTTTGCGGTAGCGATTTCAATTTAGCGAGAGCGATTTCAACTTTGCGAGAGCGATTTCAATTTAGCGAGAGCGATTTCAACTTTGCGAGAGCGATTTCAATTTAGCGAGAGCGATTTCAACTTTGCGAGAGCGATTTCAATTTAGCGAGAGCGATTTCAACTTTGCGAGAGCGATTTCAATTTAGCGAGAGCGATTTCAACTTTGCGAGAGCGATTTCAATTTAGCGAGAGCGATTTCAACTTTGCGAGAGCGATTTCAATTTAGCGAGAGCGATAGTATGAGGCGCCAAAGT